ACACACACACAAACACCCCAACACACACACAAAAAAAACATCACTCCCCCACAATACACACACACATCACCTCCCTTACACAAACACCTCCCCACAACACACACACACATCACCCCCCACAACACACACACACAAACATCAACTCCCACAACACACACACACACATACACAAAAACATCACCCCCCCCACAACACACCACACAGAAATATCACCCCCGCCCACAACACACACACACAGAAACATCCCAGGTGTGTGACCCCACAACACACACCAATGTGCACCGTCAGCCTGCACCCGCACAGCAGGCCTGCACGCGGGAGTCTCAGCCACACCGTGCCTGACGAGGCGTGTTCACTGGGTAATGCAAAGGTGGGAAGCGGGGTACCCCCAGGTGAAATCTGCTGGTTGGATGTCGCCAGTCTTGCTGTGCTGCCTGGTTCTGAAAGGCCCCCAAGGAGCACCAAACGAACAGGAGGCAAGCAGCTATGCTGGGGACAGAGGTGGTCACCACCCATGGGCAGTGGCTCCGTCCCCAACGTGTTCCACAATTGGGACTGGGAGTGCGGTGGGAGCCCGTGGCAGCATCACAAGGGAAAAGGAGTCCGCGATCCCAGTGCGCAACGCAGCTCATGCTCACCGCAGAGCACAGGGTGAGGCGTCTGGGACTGGAACGAAATGACTTGGCTTGGTGGAACAGACAGGGACAGAAGCAGAGCCTCCAAACCAGAGGACGCGTGGGAGACAGTGACCAAAGCTGGCCACGGACACAAGAATGCCCCAGCCAACTGTCTGCCCTCTGCAGCCAAGTCAGAACCCAACTAAGTGGAAGGCGGCCCTTTCAGCAAGGGTGAGGAAGTAAAAACACACCTGAATCGCGCAGGGATCAGGGAGGACGTGGTCAGGGAGAGTGGGCGAGGCTGGAATTGAAGGAGAATGGGAGAACCCAGAGCAAAGCCCTGGGTGCAGCTAAAACAAGACAGAGGGACACGGGGGGCCTGGATGCTTACATCAGAAAGGGGGAAGACTAAAAAACAAAGAAAACAAAGTATGGATTACCCTCGAACAAAAAAATAGAGAGGGGAAAGTATTAATAAGTATGCATCTAATTTATGAAATTAGGAGATGAACAAAACACTAAAACCAAGGAAAGAGAAGAATGGAAATAATTAAGAAATGTAAGAGGTTAACAGAATGAAAAATAAAAATTGATGAAGATCAACCAAATTAAACATCGCTGCTGCGTGGGCCGGGTGCAGTGGCTCACGCCTGCAATCCCAGCACTTTGGGAGGCCGAGGAGGGCAGATCACTTGAGCCCAGGAGTTCCAGATCAGCCTGGGCAACGTGGCGAAAACCTGTCTCTACAAAAAATAAAAACAAATTAGCCAGGTGCGGTGGTGGGTGCCTGTAATCCCAGCTCCTTGGGAAGCTGAGGTGAGAGCGTCGCTTGAACCCAGGAGGCGGAGGTCGCGGTGAGCCGTGATCTCGCCGCTGCACTCCAGCCTGGGCGACAGAGTGAGACTCTGGCTCGAAAATAAATAAATAATTTTAAAATTGTCTCTGTGAAAAAACTAATAAATAGTCTAACATCTGGCAACAAAATTAGCAGAAAGAGGAAGAGACACAAATAAGCAACGTCGACGAAAAGAGGAACGCCATGACAAAGGCTGCAGAGATGACATTGTGGTGAAAGAATTCCATAAACAACTTTATGACAATTTAAAAACTGAGCAAAACAGCCCACTCCCAGGAGAAATATAACATGGAATGGACTCCAAGTGAAGTTCAAACCCTGCATAGACTAATTCATTTTAAAGACATTGGATCTTGCATTCCGAATCAGGGATGCAAAGACAAAAAAAGGCATTGAACCAGTAGTTACATCTCCTATCAAGCAAAAAACAGTATGAATTTTTTAAATTACATTATGACCAAGGGGGTCCTTTATTATTATTTTTTTAGTTTTACCTTTTTAAAGAGATGAAGTCTCACTTCGTCACCCAGGCCAGAGTGCAGTGGTGAGATCCTGGCTCACTGCAGCCTCAAACTCCTGGGCTCAAGCGATTTCCCACACCTCACCCTCTCACATCGCTGGGACCACAGCTACGTACCAGCACACCTGGTTTTTTTTTTTAAGAGATGGGGTCTCACTATGTTGCCCAGGCTGGTCTCAAACTCCTGGCCTCAAGTGATCCTCCCAGCTCAGCCTCCCGAAGTGCTGGGATTATAGGTGAGTACCACCATTCCCGGCCTTGAGAGTTCTTTTAATGTGATAATAGTTTTACATCAGAAAACTGAATGACGTAGTGATTCATGTTTACAACACATAAAGAATGTAAAGACTAAAAAATAATTTGGATAAAATATACCATCACTCATAGACAGACATTCTTGTCAACTAAGAACAGAAGAGAGGTCCGGGCACAGTGGCTGACGCCTGTAATCCCAGCATGTTGGGAGGCCGAGGCAGGCGAATCACTTGAGGTCAGGAGTTCGTGACCAGCCTGGCCAACGTGGTGAAATCCCATCTCTACCAAAAAATACAAAAAAATTAGCCAGGCATGGTGGCGGGTGCCTGTGATCCCAGCTACTCGGGAAGCTGAAGTAGGAGAATCAACTGAACCTGGGAGGCGGAGGCTACAGTGAGCTGAGATCGCGCCACTTATTATTTTATTTTATTTTATTTTTTGATACAGAGTCTCACTCTGTCACCCAGACTGGGGTGAAGTGGCACAATCTCGGCTCACTGCAACCTCTGTCCCCCAGGTTCAAGCGATTCTCCTGCCTCAGCCTCCTTAGTAGCTGGGATTACAAGCTCCTGCCAGCACACCTGGCTAATCTTTGTATTTTTTGTAGAGACAGGGTTTCACCACATCAGCCGGGTTGGTCTTGAACTCCTGACCTCAGGTGATCCACCCTCTTCAGCCTCCCAAAGTGCTGGGATTACAGGCGTGAGCCACCACACCCAGCTAGTAGCAAGGAACATATGTTCAACAAGATATAAAAACCACAAACCAAAGAATAAAGAGATTGGTAAATTCAACAAGAAAAAACTAAGGTCTTTAATAAGTGAACTTCTCTTCATCAAAAGACACCATAAACCAAGCCAAAAAAAAACCAAGCCATCTCTTGGGAGGTGTTTGTAACACGTATTACTGATCAAGGATTAGTTTTCACTATCTAAAAAGAAGGTAGGACACCATTAGAAAAAAGGCAAGCAATTGAATAGAAAAATGGGCGAGAGGTGGTAACAGGTAGCTGGCAGAGAAGCGAAGCTGAATTGTCAGCACACGCATGAAAGGGGAAACTAAATTAAAACTGCAAAGTGGATGAACAAAATATAAACATCAGTCTGGAGAAGGAAAAGTTCATTTTTGCAGAACACCAGCTCAATGGAGGTGAAACGACAGCATTAAGAATGCACTGTTTTGCAACCACTGATGGGATCACTGATTGAGACAAGGATTATCACTGGATGCCCAAGTCACACGTGAAAGTTAACGGGGGCCAGTATGTTCAGTTTCAAAGAACCACCTGACTGATTACTTATAAAGTTAAAAGGGTGTCTTGAAAATAGAGAACAACAGCCAGGCATGGTGGCTCACTCCTGTAATCCCAACACTTTGGAAGGCCAAGGTGGGTGGATCATGTGGTCAGGAATTTGAGACCAGCCTGGCCAACATGGTGAAACCCTGTCTCTACTAAAACTACAAAACTTAGCTGGACATGGTGGTGGGCGCCTGTAATCCCAGCTACTTGGGAAGCTGTGGCAGGAGAATTCCTTGAACCTGGGAGGCAGAGGTTGCAGTGAGCCAAAATCGCACCACTGCACTCCAGCCCGGGCAACAGAGCGAGACTCCGTCTCAAAACAAAAAACACCACAATGGCACCCAATGACATCTCGGCCAGCACACAGGGTGCATCCCTCAGTCTGGCATTTGCATTGCTGGGTACAGATCGCTGTTGGTCACTGCAAAGAATCAGAAAACCTCCACACATTCACCAAGAAGAGAATAGACAGGTACACTGTGGTGTATTCATAGATGGGTTCTACACGATTAAAACTGACCTGCAGCTGTGAGCCACCAATGGCGAAGTCCTGGACACAGCAACCACACTGGGGTGGCGGTGAAACAGTTGCAAAAGGAAAACTCACGCTACTTACATGACATTTAAACAATATTTTTATATTTTAAAATATCACATGCACCTGGATATAGAGAATACACACTTATGATGAAAGGTCCCGGCCAGCAGAGGGGATTCCACCACAAAGGAGTTGCACAGAGCACTCAACTCGGATGAAGTCATCATGTTGTATTTCTCCTTCTCCTTCTCCTTCTCCTTCTCCTTCTCCTTCTCCTCCTTCTTTTGTTAGATAGGGTCTCACTGTGTTGCCCAGGCTGGAGTGCAGTCACTCACACCCTCATGGCTGACTGCAGCCTCAACCTCCCAGGCTCAGGTGATCCTCCCATTTCAGCCTCCTGACTAGCTGGAACTACAGGTACACACCACCATGCCTGCCTAACTTTTTTGTTTTCGTTTTTGTTTTTGAGATGGAGTCTCATTCTGTCGCCAGGCTGGAGTGCAGCGGCGATCTCGGCTCACTGCAACCTCTGACTCCTGGGTTCAAGCGATTCTCCTGCCTCAGTCTCCCGAGTAGCTGGGATTACAGGCGCCCGCCACCACACCCGGCTAATTTTTGTATTTTTAGTAGAGACGGGGTTTCACCGTGTTGGCCAGGATGGTCTCGATCTCCTGACCTACCCGCCTCGGCCTCTCAGAGTGCTGGGATTACAGGCGTGAGCCACCGTGCCCGGTCCCAACTTCTGTAGTTTTTGTAGAGACTCCCTGTGTTGCCCAGGCTAGTATCAAACTCCTGGACTCAAGCCTCCCAAAGTGCTGGGATTACAGGCTTGAGCTACCATGCCCGGCCATGTTGTTTTTCTTAAGCTAAGTGGGGGCTGGGTAGATGGGGGCTCTTCCTAACTTTATTTACGCCTCCTGGCATAGTTTAAATAGTTCCTGATTGTTAACTATAGGGGGAAAGGCATTTGCTGAAAGTCAATTCTTGTCTCTGAAAGCAAAACAACACGAAAGCTCAAGAAACTATAGAAAACTATAAATAAGCACTTCCTTTATCTCCTGTTGCTGCTGGAACACGAAGGCGTTCCAGTCCAAGACAGGAACCCAAGAAGGATGCCTGCTTTTACCATTACTGTTCGACCCTGGTCTGGAAACGAAGGACAATGCCAGCGATGTGAGGCGGAAATGAGACGTATAACTTCTGGAAAGGAGGAGCCAAAACAGCACATTCCTAGGAGCCCCCAGAGAGTCGGCGGAAGAGTTTTCAGAAAGAATGAGAGAATTCAGGAACGCGGCCAGATGCAAAATACATATTTTAAATCCGTTTTTAAAATTATTTTCCAACCACCACCAGCTAGAAGATAAGGTAGAATTTGAACACTTTTTACTCTAAAAAAAACCCGAACAAGAGTATAAAGTACTTAGCGATGGTCCTCTTGAAAAGTGTTTAGAGTCTGTAGCAAGAAAATGACAAACTTGAATGACAAATGTAAGAAAAAACTTTTGCAAAAAAAAAAAAAAAGAAAAAAATGGGTAGGGAGTTTGACTCTTATAAAAAATCATTTCTTTCCAAATCAATGTGTAGGCTTATCAGATTTTCAACCAACATTCTAGTGAGTTTATTTGGGGGTGGGGGTGGGCGGGGGTGGGGAGATACTTGGCAAAAAGAAGCTGAAATTCATACAGGAGAAACACGGAGGAACGGCCAAGAACATTTGGAACATCAGAGCAGATTTCAGAAGTGAAGGTGATGTAGCAGATTCATATTTAGAGCTCCCTGCAGACCAGCAGTCGGACAAAGCGTCTTTGGCCCAGGCCCCGTAACTCTCACAGCAGGCTGAGGAGGTAGATGCTCTTATCCTTGGAGTCTTCCCAGAGAGCAAACCGAAGCACAGAGGGGGTTGAACAAAATCCCAAAGGTCACACAGCTACAAGGCAGTGCAGTCAACTCTGAGACTGTGACTCCTGACTTCACGACCACACCTTCTGTAGGTTGTAACACTGATCCTCATTCCACAATACCTATCCCGCAATATTATGTGTGCACGGGAACCTCGGGGTGGCAGGGTCGAGGAAGGCGGGGGGGATATTTCATAAAAGAGGTCGAGAAAATTAGGTATGCACTGGGGCAGTGTGATTTGCTCTCCACATCAAATGCCAAAATACAGTCCAGGTGAATTACAGAGGCCATGACATGTGAAAAAAAAAAAAAAGGTTAAAAATAAAGCCAGAGGCCGGGCGCGGTGGCTCACGCCTGTTATCCAAGCACTTTGGGAGGCCGAGGCGGTTGGATCACCTGAGGTTAGGAGTTCGAGACGTGCCTGGCCAACATGGCAAAACCCTGTCTCTACTAAAAATATAAAAAAATAACCTGGGCATGGTGGCGGGCGTCTGTAATCCCAATTACTGGGAAGGCTGAGGCAGGAGAATCGCTTGAACCCCAGAGGCGGAGGTTGCAGTGAGCCAAGATCACGCCACTGCACTCCAGCCTGGACAACAGAGCGAGACTCCATCTTGAATACATAAATACATAAGCTAGAGAGATGTGTGGTGCACACTCATCTGCTTTCACGCTGGGGAACAATGTTTCGAGCTTTAGAACAGTGGAAACATGACGGAAGAAAAGGGCAGCTAGGCCCATTTCACTACTTCACCATGTCAAGTTTCTGTCTACCCAAACATGTCCACCAACATTAAAAGGCAGATTTCCACTCCTGGCTGAGATGGGGTAGCAGGGACTGGATTTATCTTCCTGCCTGAAACAACCAAACAGCAACACAGAACAGACAAAATACACAACACAATGAAACAACCAACACAGAACTGAAAACACACACAACACAATGGCTCTCAAGACCCCACACGTGGGCGGTGCACAAATGTGCTTCCCGGGCTGGGAACTGGCCTTGGGGGCCTCTCGCTGCCTGTGCAGTTTCTGGTGGGTTTCCAAGCTTCAGTGCAGGAAGTGGGAGTTGAGATGGAGGCCACAGAGTCCCTGAGCGGATGAGGCAGAGCTGGGGGTCTCCAGGCAGCTGAAGTTCATGAAGCTCACAGAGCTGCCCGAGAGAGAAGCTGAGACTGGAGAGTCCCCCTGGAGTATTAGGGACGGAGCCATCAGCACATGCCAGGGGAAAGGTCCCAAGGCAGGAAAGCACTATCAGAAAGGACTAGAGAGACCAGTGCTGGGCAGTGCCGGGCGCTCGCATGGATCTAGGAATTGTGTCTGCTCCCACCAGCCACAGCAGAAAACCATATCACGCACAGCGGTGGGGTGCTCAGAAACAGCTTGCCCCCATGGTGGGGAAGAGTTAGCCCACACGATTCCAGACCTCCCTTACAAACGGTATAAAAGTAATACTTGAAAGGATCAAACTGCTTGCAGATAAACAGCTACATTCCAGAACAAAGCTCAGGAATATTTGTGGAAATATAAAAGGATCCAGCTCCCACCCGAGTTAAAGTTTACAATGTCTGCATTCCGATAAAAAATTATCAAAAAGACACAGAAGCAGGAAAGGGTGACCCATAAAAAAGAGGAAATATCAGTCACTCAAAGTCAACTGCGGGACGCTAAAGCTCACCACTAATACCCTACGGCCGCCCCTAAAACAACAACACAAAGAGTTACTGCGAAAACGCCAACGAACAAGATGACGTGATGAATCAAACTTCTCACGAACGCAATGGGAGGCAGAAAAAAGAGTAAAGAGGAGAAAAGAACAGATGCGACAAATAGAAAGCAAGTAACAAGGTGACGGACTCTAACTTAACCATACCAGTAAGCACGTTAAATATCAATGGGCTCAACTCCCCGATTAAGAAGCAGAGGGGCCATGCATGGTGGCTCACGCCTGTAATTCCAGTAGTTTTAGAGGCTGGTAGAGGAGGATCCCCTGAGTCCAGGAGTTTAAGACCAGCCTGGGCAACAGAGGGAGAATGCATCTCTCCAAAAAAAAAATTTAGCTGGGCGTGGTGGCATGTGCCCGTAGTCACAGCTACTTGTGAGGCTGAAGCAGGAGGATCCCTTGAGCCCTGGGGGTTGAAGCTGCCATGAGCTGTGATTGCACCAACACACTCGAGCCTGGGCAACAGTGAGACCCTGTCCGCACACCCCCAACCAGAGGTTGTCTAATTGATAAAATAGCAAAGCCCAACTATGTACTGCCAATAAGAAATATGGTTTAACTGGCCAGGTGTGGTGGCTCACACCTGTAATCCCAGCAATTTGGGAGCCCGCAGTGGTAGGATTGCTTGAGCCCAGGAGGACAAGAATGCCCTGGGCAACATTTCTACCAGGATTTGGTAGAAACCCCAGCTCTACAAAAAATACAAAAATTAGTGAGGCGTGGTGGCACACACCTATAATCCCAGCTACTAGGGAGGCTGAGGCACAAGAATCGTTTGAACCCAGAAGGCAGAGGTTGCAGTGAGCTGAGATCGCGCCGCTGCACTCCAGCCTGGGCGACAGAGCAAGACTCGGTCTCAAAAAGAAAAACAAAAGAAGAAAAGTCTCAAATCAACGACCTCGCTCTCAGCTTAAGGAAAATAGAAAAAGAAAAGCAAATTCAATCCAAAGTGGGCAGAAGAAAGGAAATGGTAAAAATCAAGTGGAAGCTGATAAAACAGAAAACAATAAATAATAGAACAAAATTGAGAAAACCAAAACTTGGTTCTTTAAGAATGTCAATAATCCTGATAAGAATATCAATAAACCTTTCACCAACTTGATGGGGGAGGGCCCAGGGAAAGGAGGAGAAGGACAGAAATTACGAATATCAGGAACAAGAGAGGTGGTATGAGTACAGATTCTGCAGAAATTCAAAGAACAAAGACGCCGGGCACAGTGGCTCACGCCTGTAACCCCAGCACTTTGGGAGGCCGAGGTGGGTGGATCACCTGAGATCAGGAGTTGGAGACCAGCCTGCCCAACATAGTGAGACCCCATCTGTAATAAAAATACAAAAATTAGCCGGGGGTGGTGGTGGGCGCCTGTAATCCCAGCTACTCAGGAGGCTGAGGCAGGAGAACCACTTGAACCCGGGAGGCAGAGGCTGCAGTGAGCCAAGATTGCACCACTGCACTCCAGCCTGGGCGACAAGAGCGAAACTCCGTCTAAAAAAATAAAAATAAAAATAAAAAAAAGAAGAAAATATTGGTGAACAGCTTTATGCCAATTAATTTGACAAGTTAGATGAAACGGATACGTCTCTTGAAAAACTGAAAATGCCAAAGCTCACACAAGAAGAAACAACTGACCTAAATAACTCTCTCTTAAAAACAGAGAGAGCAGCAAAAACCCTCCCACAAAGAAAATTCAAGCCCCACGTGGCTGCCTGATGTGTGAATGAGTCTTTACTCAATTAAACTCTGTTGAATTATCTAAGGCTTCTCTTTATTTTTATTTATTTATTTATTTATTTTTGAGACAGGGTCTCCCACTGTGGCCCAGGCGGGGTACAGGGGCACGATCTCGGCTCACTGTAGCCCCTGCCTCCCAGGTTCAAGTGATTCTCCCACCTCAGCCTCCCGAGTAGCTGGGATTACAGGCATGTGCCACTACGCATGGCTAATTTTTGTTTGTTTATTTATTTATTTGTTTAGAGATGGAATCTCGCTCTATTGCCCAGGCTGGAGTAAAGGGGTGTTATCTCCGCTCACTACAACCTCTGCCTCCGGGGCTGAAGTGATTCTCCTGCCTCCACCTCCCAAGTAGCTGGGATTACAGGCACTTGCTACCACGCCTGGCTAATTTTTGTATTTTTAGTAGAGACAGAATTTCACCATGTTGGCCAGGCTGGTTTCGAACTCCTGAGCTCAGGCAATCCTCCCGCCGCAGCCTCCCAAAGTGCTGAGATTACAGGCGTGAGCCACTGTGCCCGGCCAAGTTTTCTCTTTAAACGGATGGCATCAGAAGTGGGTCTGGTGTAGAGCTTCCAGAGGCCCCCAGGAGCTCTGACTGACCAAAGGAGGACCCACAGGGCCCACTGTGCCCTCTGCTCGCTCAGAGCAGCTGGAGTTCGTGGGAAGTTCTCTCTTGGATTCCAAAGCTTCATGGATGTGTGTTTTGAGCTCTCTGAGTTTGCTTGAGCAAATTTTTTATCTAAACTGGGTTCAGAAGTCGTGACAGAAACTGGACTGGGTCCAGGATGGAATCTGATTTGATCATCCACTGGCTTGGATCCAGTAAGAGGCCCTTGCATGTCTGACTGGGTCAGGCAGAAACTAGCTGTAAATGGCAGGACTGCAGGAGGTACACACTCCAGCTTTTGGACACTCACAAGGATTTTCGTGTTCTACTCTCTTGGTTTCTTTTTCGTGCACACTAAGGTAGGGAAAAATCATTGCTAAGTTAATCGAGGGGATCTAAGAGCCAAAGCCAAGGTTTAATGTAAAATGGGATCCTTCGTCTCTGAGAAACCGAGCACCGTCTGGCTTGTAGGTCCATCCGTATTAGGTCCTGGACGCAGCAAGTGTTTACAGAAATGGTGGCATCTTACTAACGGTGAATGGAAATTATGGTGGGATGTTCCAGGTGAACACCACTGCACTTTAAGAAGTGCACCTAGCTACAAGGCCTCCTCATTAGTCCCACTGGGGATGCTGATTGATATGAAGAAGCTTCTAACATGATTTCAATATTTTTATTCCCTATTTTAAAAGTGTCTGCACAAAAGGCAAATAAGTCCTGGCAAGGTGGCCCACGCCTGTAATTCCAGCACTTTGAGAGGCCAAGGTGGGAAGGTCGCTGGAGCCCAGGCGTTTGAGACCAGCCTGGGCAACACAGTGAGGCACCCGCCCCCCCAGCCCCTGCCCCGTTGCCCTGCCATCTCTACAGAAATTAAAAAAAAAAAAAAAATTAGCCGGGCACGATAGCACGCACCTGTAGTCCCAGCTGCTTAGGAGGCTGAAGCAGGAGGCAGAGGCTGTGTCAGAGGTGTGTGAACCAGAGCGACACCATCTTGAACAGGAGCTGGGAACAATGAGGCTGAGACCTAGTGGGCTGCATTCCCAGATGGTCAGGCGTTCTCAGTCACTGGATAAGACAGGAGGTCGGCACAAGATACGGGTCATAAAAACCTTGCTGATAAAACAGGTTGCAGTAAAGAAGCCGGCTAAAATCTACCAAAACCAAGATGGTGACCAGAGTGACCTCTGGTCGTCCTCACTGCTACACTCCCACCACTGCCATGACAGTTTACCAATGCCACGGCAACGTCAGGAAGTTACCCTATATGGCCTAAAAGGGGGGGCATGAGTAATCCACCCCTTGTTTGGCATATCATCAAGAAATAACCATAAAAATGGGCAACCAGCTGCTCTCGGGGCTGCTTGGTCCGTGGAGTAGCCATTCTTTATTCCTTTACTTTCTTAATAAACTTGTATTTGCTTTGCGCTGTGGACTCACCCTGAATTCTTTCTTGCACAGGATCCGAGAAGCCTCTCTTGGGGTCTGGATCAGGACCCTTCTCCTGTACCAATTGCAGTGAGCTGTGATGGCACCACTGCACTCCAGCCTGGGTGACAGAGCAACACCCTGCCAAATAAGATAAAGACAAAATAAGATAATAAATGTAAATTAATTAATTAAGACAAATAAAAAGCTTAAGTGACCAGTTGACAAGAAAAAAATGAATCTTCTGGGCTCTTGGCCTGGTTACTATCCCGGACAGAACGCTATCCTAGATGAAGGATTTCTAAAAGGTCTCTCAGATCCAGCAGGCTTACTTCAGATCCATCCACGCTGAGCCCAGGCAGAGGGAAGGCTTTCTCCGCCCTATTCCTTAATGGGCCCCACCCTGTACTCCGTAATTTTAGCTAAGAAACAGTAGTTACAGTTAGAAGGACCACCTATCCATAGGTTGGTGTGAAACTAATTGTGGTTTTTGCAATTACTTTTCAACCAGCCTAATAACTCAAATGCACCTTTCTGACATTCAACTACTATCTTGAAACCATTTTGTGAAAGAAATTTACATCTCCACAAGACATTTCCATTTGCAATGTCTGGGAGGGACGCACCTTGGTTTTAAATTTGCATAACAAGTCTTACGTTTGTTTAACGTGTTTTTCCTGGCCATCTTGTCTTAACTGGGCCTTGCTTTTTTCTTGATTTGAGCAAATGATGGTACAGTATTTAAGCTGAAAGTCTCAGCTCTGTACTTTTCAGATATACATTTTCTGCCTTGTTTCACCTAAGAGTTATATTTTTTGAAGGCAAATTGTTCCCTAGCTAACAATTGCTTAGTATGATAAAACAAGTAATCACAAGATTGATTGTCTAAAGGGGGAAAAGAAAAACTATCTGAAAGCTGGCAAATGAAAATTCTTTGTGAAATCTGTAAGATCTGTTTCTATCTGTGTCTGTTATGACTATATGTCTCTCTGCATTACATGTATCTGATAATATTTAGGAAATAAAGCTGAAACCACCTTTGCACTGTCTCTTTGAGATGGTGAAAGACATCCAACTTAATTGACTCCATCTTGTCTTTTTTTTTTTTTTTTGAGATGGAGTTTTGCTCTTGTCGCCCAGGATGATGTGTAATGGCACAAACTTGGCTCACCACAACCTCCACCTCCTGGGCTCAAGGGGGAGGCAGTTCCTGCCTCAGCCTCCCAAGTAGCTGGGATTACAGGCATGTGCCACCATGCCTGGCTAATTTTGTATTTTTTTTACAATTTTGTTTTGTTCTGTTTTGTTTTTTTTACAAAAAGTACAGGCGAGGTTTCACCACATTGGCCAGGCTGGTCTTGAACTCCTGACCTCGTGATCTACCCACCTCGGCCTCCCAAAGTGCTGGGATTTCAGGTGTGAGATTCATGAGCTCAGATTTAAATACTTTGGCATCTTATTTTATATGTATAGAAAATCTAAATGTAGGCTGGGTGCAGTGGCTCACGCCTGTAATCTCAGCACTTTGGGAGGCCGAGGGGGATGGATTACCTGAGGTCAGGAGTTCCAGACCAGCCTGGCCAACATGGTGAAACCCCGGCTCTACTAAAAACTACAAGAATTAGCCAGGCATGGTGGCCTGCGCCTGTAATCCCAGCAACTTGGGAGGCTGAGGCAGGAGAATCGCTTGAACCCAGGAGGCAGAGGTTGCAGTGAGCTGAGATCGCACCACTGCACTCCAGCTTGGGTGACAGAGTGAAACTCCATCTCAAAAAAAAAAAAGTAATCCCTGCACTTTGGGAGGCCAAAGCAGGCAGATTACCTGAGGTCAGGAGTTCGAGACGAGCCTGGGGAAAACATAGTGAAACCCCGTCTCTACCAAAAATACAAAAATTACACCTGCACCCCGGCGTGGTGGCACGTGTCTGTAATCCCAGCTACTCGGGAGGCTGAGGCAGAAGAATCACTTGAACCCAGGAGGCAGAGGTAGAAGTGAGCTGAGATCAGGTCACTGCACTCCAGCCTGAGTAACAGAACGAGATGCCATCTTAAACAACAAACAAAACTAAATGTATTAGATCTGTAAACAAATATTTGAAGAAACATCTTTCTAAAAAAATTACGAAGTGGTTCTCCTCTACAAATACTGATATAAAATAGTTCACAATTATTTCTTAGGGTTTTCACTGGGATTTGGGTTACTGATGTAAGTGTAGTTAACATTTGCAATTAAGACTACGATAGAGATAAGAAAAACAATGCTGTATACAGAAAATATAAAAAATCAAGATATGCTTTTGGTGAGAGAAGGTATAAAGGCATGAAAAATGTGTGTTTGAAAATCACTTTTTCTAGTTTGAAGCTACTTAAAGCTCATTTCAAACTGAGAGAATAGGCCGGGCGTGGTGGTTCATGCCTGTAATCCCAGCACTTTGGGAGGCCGAGGCAGGTTGGATCACCTGAGGTCAGGAGCTCGAGACCAGCCTGGCCAACATGGGGAAACCCCGTCTCTACTGAAAATACAAAAATTAGCCAGGTGTGGTAGTGTTTGCCTGTTTTCTCAGCTACTCGGGAGACTGAGGCAGGAGAATTGCTTGAATCAGGGAGGCAGACGTTGTGGTGAGCCAGGATTGTGCCATTGCACTCCAGCCTGGGTGACAGAGTAAGACTCTGTCTCAAAAAAAAAAAAAATCAAAGGAATAAAAAGATGCAGATAAAACAAAAATATAGAAAGTTAAGAAGAAAAATTTTAAAATTATATGTAAGATTCTAAAAGGCTTAGGAAAACCTTGTTTAGTCACGAGATGAGTGAGATTGGATGGACTTTTTTTTTTTGGAAACCAAGTCTTGCTCTGTTGCCCGGACTGGAGTACAAAGGCACATCTCAGCTCACTGCAACCTCCGCCTCCCGGGCTCAAGCAATTCTCCTGCCTCGGCCTCCCGAGTGCCTGGGATGACAGGCACCCGCCACCATGCCCAGCTAATTTTTTGTATTTTTAGTAGAGACAGGGTTTCACCATGTTGGCCAGGCTGGTCTCGAACTCCTGACCTCATGATCCACCCGCCTCAGCCTCCCAAAGTACTGGGATTACAGGCGTGAGCCACCACCCCCGGCCAGATTGATTTGTTTGTAAGGTTTTATGAAAATTAGTTTTAGTATTGATAAATATACTAGTCTAAAAGTAAAATTTGCTTCTCTCTTTTGAACAAGAATTTTTATGTGTATTAATAAGAGATAGTAATAATGATTGTTAATCTTTTGAGTAAACTGCGAGAGACAGAGAGAGAGAAAAGAGATTCTGTCTCATGCTGTCTTTCTCAGTGTAAAAAACTGAATCCCTTCTCTAACAAAGAATACAGGTTTTTGCTTTTTAAAATCTTAGAAATATCACTTTGGCTAAAAGAATGACAATTCTACAGTCACCTGTAAACCTATTTTGCTTGAGTGTTTTAGATCTTTGACATTTTTGACAGGCTTCCCAAAATCACATATAAATTGTAAAATCAGGTATCTTTTCAACTTCAAACTAATTTTGGGATGCTACTAAGGGCCCCTATAGTATCCAAAAAAGAGAGTGACAGAAGTATTTGATAAACTAAATTACATGGGAAGCACTGCCAAATAAGAAATGATGTTTAACCTTATTTGAGATATTGTTTATGAATACATCATTAATACGTGCTCCAAAATTGTATGGGATTCCTAAAATTCTGATACATCTTGGCACATGCTGTCACTCATAATTACAGTTATGTTAAGTTATTGTTGGCCACAGAAATAACCAAAATTCCTTGTCAATTCTGTCTTTAACCATGGCCATTTTAAGTCATTTCCATAGTTAATTGCTTTTCTCTGACGTTTCTGAAAACTCTTCACAAGCATGGACAATCCTACAATACTAAGTCTTCTAGGAGGTTCTTGAAAGGATAGAAAGGACCCTGGAAAAAAAACAAAAACAAACAAACAAACAAACAAAAAAAGAAATGACCCTGGTAAGCCCTCTCGAATAGGCTTCTGATAACTTTAGTGTAATATCATTTGGACTGGGTAAAAATTCCTGGAACTCTAACAAAAACATTGACTGGTTTATAAAATGGCTAACCTGGACATATAAAACATTGACTGGTTTATAAAATGGCTAACCATGGACAAAAACTAATTGAATACCAAGAAAATACTTTGCCAGCTTTTCATGCTAAATCAGCCAGTACCCAATTTGAATAAAATCCATAGTCTAAGTCAAATTACCTACGATAACCCTTCTAATAAACAGCGCTATACACCTGAATTGGAGAAACAAAATTGGTATTCAAGAAGATATAAGTCCAGTGTCAAGCACAGACACACGGACAGCCCAGATGGTCACCTGGTTCTTCCTGTGTCCTTAAACCTTCTATTATTAAACGCTCTGCACGCCATGACTCATCATGGAAGAGACAAAATAATCCAAATTATATATATATTATATATATTTTTTGTATATACATATTATATATACATCAGATAAACATGTGTTTGCCATAGTGACTATTGTAAGTTGTTAAAATGGTTTACGACCAATGTTTAGTTTGCCAACCCCATAATCCTGGGAGGACAATCAAAACTTCAATTATACTTCTGCTACTTGATGGGCCATTTAAACATTACTGGAGGGATTTCCTTCCATTGTCATTTTCAGTGCCTGTTTTCTGATTATATAGAAGCTTTCCCAGGCAAGAGCACTGATGTTATAGCAGTAGCTAAAAGATTATTAGAAAATTGTTTTTCTCGTGGGACGTTCCTTGAGAAATCTCCAGTGACAGAGGTACTTGTTCCACTGCTCAAGTGGAAAAACTGTTAAATAAGTTGTTGCAGATACAATAATATTAAAAGCAAGGGAACTGAATGAAGTGGGCTGCCTTGGTCAAGGGTGTTGCAGGTAGATGGGCCATCGGGTCCATTTCCAGTGGAAAACATAGGTTGGCACCTTATGAAATAGTCCCTGGAAGGCCTATATAGAACCTCATGTATCTTCCACTCCTCATCTCCGATATGACTAAAGGCTCCAAGGCCTTAATGCATTATGCCTGAGTATATTTTACCAGGTAC